CAAGAAGAAAAATAAGTACGAAAAGGGAGGCCCGGTGCGGGGACCAAATGCCCATTACCATTAAACATAAGCAACGCTTCTTCAAAAGCGATCTCATTCTTTCTCCCTCAAAATCATTGTTGTGTGGACAACTGCGGAGTGTGGAGTGTCAAACAGACTCCCATTATGCAAAAGCATCCGATTAATTAGCCTGGACCGTACAATTTATAATTCCTGATTAAAGCACAATCAAGAAATTAATCCCACAAAAGCTGTCTGTATGCCTTCGTTGAGTCTATCATTAGGGCATAATGCTGACGACGGAGCTCGCTCTTAATTACAAGAAGTCAATAGTAAATCCTTATCTAATTAAGTGCCAAGATTGTGATTAAAAGTTTTGGTGGGAGGTTAGATTTATAAGAAGTACACTAGATTAAGTCAAACAAGAAGTTGGAGGAGATATAAAGAAGTTAGAGGTCTTAATTACTAGATCAGTCATCAAACAAGAAATTTAAGAAAAAGAGGTCCTACTTTGTTCTATATTTGAAGTTTGAATTTGAATTAGTAGGTAGATGCATTGAAGTTATTATTGGTCCATATTCCTGGACCCATTTAATATTTCAATCTTGAGTATCAAATGCTTATTAATGAAGTTGATGGGAGGACAAGGAAGCTTTTCATTTTGTGGAAGCAATGAATTTCTTGTTTTAAACCTAATTCTGAGTATTCTAACACAACAATAATTAGAGGCCCTGGATCTCTCAATTGGTTCATATAAGCCCTTGCATAATGCATAAATATACATAAGACTCATGATTAACCTACTATGAGGGATCCATTTATGCTCACATCTTATACATTACACTAATGAGTTATTAGTTCAAGTGGAAAGAGTTCAGTTCCTTTTAATAAAGTTTCAAGTTCAAGTTTTATAAACGAAAAGACAGGCGCTAAGAGAGTTTCTCCATATAGAGTTTGATACGGCTCAACTCCAGATTAGTCAAAGTCTAATGAGGCTTTCGTATATTGAGGAGTTAGTACCAAATAAAAAAAAGGGGATCTTACACATTACACATTACACATTACACTTACACAAAATTTTAACCATTTATCTCTCTACTTTCAATGGTTGTGATTTATCACCAATTTTTTATATGAAAAAGATAACTATCTTTAATAAATAGAGAAAAATCATTATCATTAAAAATGAAAAGATAAATAGTTAAAATTTTGTATAACTGTAATATGTAAAATTTATGTGTTAGCGGATCTTTACTCTTAATTGATGTAAGTGTTACATTAACTTTTAGAAATTGATTTTCAAAATTTCAACAATCAATGCAACACTTGAATTTTCAAAATGACCTTTTAAATTTTAAAATGTGTTGTTATAAGTTTGTATAACAATTTTTTAAATTTACATAAATGTAAGTTGATCCTTACTTGTATTGGTGGTGCTATAGGGATAACCTTTTTGTCCCATCTTTTTATATAACTTCCACGTATCATTAAATGAATAAATGCATTCAATATCACGGGTTCCACATGAATTAAAATAACCAATCATTTTAATGATACATTAGGTTATACAAAAAGTGGGATAAGAAAATTGTACAAAAATGATTTCCCTACTTGTATACATACAAGAAAAATGAACAGATGGCCTATTCGTCCAAGTGGAAAGAGCTCATTTTCTTTTAATGAAGGTTTTGAGTTTGAATTTGATAAATGAAAAAACAGGCACTGTGGGAGCTTTTCCTCTTTTATGGAGTTTAACACAACTTCAACTTTATATTAATTAGGGTTCAATGTAATTTTCGAACATCAAGGGTTAGTGCAAAAAAAAAAAAAAAAAGATGTACTCTAACGTACACATGCATACCTCATATGTTATGTTTTGGGATAATGAGTTGTTATTAATTAACGTTAATCACGGGGTGAAGCACAAGAAGTAAGATATAAACATAGTTAAAGCAATAATTAATTCATGTTGGGTTTGGCCGGCTTGACTAAATCCTTAAACTAAGGCAAAGCTAGAATTAGGTGGCAGTTTGGGTGTCTTGTAATCTTGGAATGGTGATGAGAATCCTAGTTTAATTTTGCTGCCTTTGTTGGGACCGCCAAACCCTGTCTTGTTGTCTCACCGTCACGCTTTGTCAAAGCTATTCCTGAGCTCATCTTCATCCTTCCTAGAAACTGGCCACTCCATTCCTAAACTACATTCTCCCCTTCCGAGAATTTGAAGAAGATGACTGATTTTTCTACATCAATCGAGTCCCTTTTTTTATCTAATAAAAGACAAGTCATCTATACGATACAAACAAAATTAACCTAACACGTGAAATAACCTTTCAAGCTAACATAAGGTGAATTTATACCTTTTTATGATTTAGACATAGGTTAATTTCTTGCAATATTCTATAAGTGATAAAACAGATACTTCAGTGAATCGTTATGTTTCCATTCAACAGGTATTTTTTCTTTGATATTTTGATGTTAGAAAACAAATATATCTTGAGAAAGAATCTTCTCATCGAAATAGAAATGTGGCTGCAATTATAACCCGGGTCTTAATCAGGGTCTAAGAATGATGTATAATATTGAATTTGATAGGGACTTCTCAACATGATGAGTTTGAAGAATTAATTTGGGGTTCAAATTAAAATCGAAAGAAGGGTAGTGTAATGAGGTAAAAAGAGAACAAAATATTAGGTATGGATTTGTGAAAATGATGATAAAGGTGAGCAGAAGACAGATTGGAGTTTTGGGTAGAAAAAGAGAAGAACAAAAGAGAAAGTTTCTTGGTGGGTGAGTGTTTTTTGGTTGGATCTTAGCAGGTCTTGACAGAGAAGTGAGGGGGGACCTTTGACTTCTGTATCCACCATACCGTGTCTAATTATTACAATTATTTTGTTTGGTTATAGTAAAGTTTAAAAGTTTAATTATTACTATACTAAAAAAACCTTGTGTTTAATGAAATCTATTACTTCAAAAACTAAGTTGATTATTGTATAAAATTTCACAATATGATGCTAATAAAAAAGTTCTAATGTTCTATGAAGAAATTCCTAATAATCTAAGGAGTTATGGTTTAATTAATAAAAAGATTTATTATCTATTTTATTGTTCAAGGTTAATTTTTTATAAAAAAAAATAATCTTTAATAAATTCTCTAATTGTAGCATAAATTATTATTTTTAACTAAATTGGGGCACAAAATAAATTTGTAGTTAAACAATAACCCTATACTCTTATATAAAAATAAAAGGATATTTTATAATCTGAGTCATGTTTTAACTTATAAAATATAAATCTTTGAATTAATGATGGATTCTCTTGATATTAAAGATCTTCTTCCATCTAAAAATTTTTATAATATAATTTAAAATATAAAACATTAAATTCATATAAAAATTTTAAAAACAGAATGGAGTTAACATCAACTTGCACATAAAATTTTCGGATTCAAAAATGCCTATTAATTTATGTAAAATTTACAGGCAAGTACAAGGAAGTTGATGCCGTGCTAAATGACTCCAGGAAGAAAAGAGGAAAGGGGAGAGAGAGACAATCTCCGTGACTTATGTGGGGTGGGAGCCGAGGGGGTGGGCTAAGTCAAAGATGGATGGCCCTACATGCACTTTCTGTTTCTTGAATTCCCCTGTTAATAATGACCACAATAATGACTATAATAATGATTATCAATTACCCTTCAGAAAGGGAAACAGAAAGGAACAGGACAGGATAAATTACCCAAAAGCAAAAAAGAAAAAGGACACAGATGAACACCAGGACAAAACCATGTTTAGTTGAATTTGAATTACACAATTTAAGTTCCATTCAAAATCCCAAATCAGTTCAGGTTACCAAATATGTGGAGAAAATGCTAAAAGTATTGTGGTACGTAAAGGCACATTACACAATAAAAAGAAGTTAAGTTTAGATTAGAGGCAACTGTTAGTCTTTTTCTTTCAACTGAAGAGACCAGAGAGCACAAAAAATTTGCAGAAAGAGGAGTTAGGAGAGACTTTGGGCTGGGCAATACAAAAGTGGACTTGAGTTGGGCTAGAATCTAGGTAAGCTCGGTTTGACTTTGACTGGGTCTGGGTAGACTTTGTTTGGGTTTTATTGGGTTGAAATACTTATGGGCTTCTTTCTGTCATATGGTCCAGTTACCAGATAAGCTATAAGAAGATAAGAAACAAGGCATGCAAGATGTTTTCTTGAAGGAATGGAGAAGAGATGGGAGAGACTGAGACGTGTTTGCTTTCATTATTATCTGAAGGGGCCATCATCTGTGATGCTACAAGTTAACCGTCACACATTTCATGCCGGGAAAGGGGATTTCTTCCACATAAATTCTTGCTGCCGTGCCAACCTGCAAGCTTTAAATTTTCACTCAAACCCCAATATTAAAATCAATACATAACTTCCTAAATTTGGGGGTTTGATTTTTTATTAGAATATAACCCTACCATGCTCCAAAATGGTATAATCTCTCATTCCTTCATTTACAAAAATTTGAAATGGAAATAATATTATAGTTATAATATAATATGACATTATAATCTTACAATATAATATATAATTATATATTTAGTTTTTTTTATTTAAAAATTTACTTATGATATTATATGCATCTATTTATTTAATATTATATCATAATATAACTTTACAATTATATATAATATTATAATTATAATATCGCTAAATTAAAAAATATTGAGAGAAAAGTAAAATCTCATAAAATATTTCACTGATCATATAATCAATTAATCAACTCATAATTTTAGGCTAAACTTCCAGTAGTAGACCCTACAGAGAATCTGATTACCAATTTAGTATACGACATCACACTAAAATAAGGAAGCACTATCCAAGAAACTGGCCTGTTTTCATTAACTTGTGGCACAAACACCTCTCCGGCTATAGAGTATGGAATAATCTACCAAAACCGTGCTGCCTTAAAAGGTACCTTTTACATTCCCCCCAGCACTCAGCATTAGCTTTCAGTCTACACTCACCAGTCATTTGAGAGAATGGCTGCTGCTCTCATCAAGCTCACAGCTGTTATCTCCCTGACCATTTCTCTCTTCTTAGCCCTGCATAATCCTCGAATATCTGCTTTCTCAACCAACGTCGAAGACGTTGAGGAAGATTACATACTTGACACCCCAGTTCATCATTCAAGATCAAGAAGCCGTTTCTTGGCCAGAATCATAAGGAAAGGCATGCACTGCAATCTCATTAATAACATCTGCAATGGGGTACCGGCAAATAATGGAACCAGCCTACTGTACTGCTGCAAGAAGCATTGCCGCAACATTCTTAGGGATGTGAACAATTGCGGATGCTGCGGGAAGAAATGCAAGTTTGGAGAACGTTGCTGCCATGGGACTTGCACTGATGTTGCTTTCAATGTTAATCACTGTGGCAAGTGCAACAAGAAGTGTTTACCAGGCGTTAGGTGTGAGTGTGGATCTTGTGGGTATGCTTAAACTAAACTTATTCATTCTAGAGTTTCAGAAGGGATTTGGGTATACACTATACATAGATTGTCATAAACAACAAGTATGATATGATAGGTAATAAAAAGAAGAAGCCTGCTGTAGGGATACAATAATCTCTTCTTCTGACTCGTTCTATAACTCTTGAAATGTTGTACATTTATGTGTTTTAGCCTTTTCTGTTGTACTAGGTCAAATATCATTCTAGTAAAACAAACAAGCCGAAATCTTGGAAAATACTGTCTACAAATCTGACTCTAAAATGAGTATGTGAAGATTTTCAGAGATCGAAAATTATGTCATTATATTTTATAACTAAAGTAGTTCCATGGATGGACCACTATGCTCTTGTACTTTCAAACAACATGGTGGATTTGGTTGCGGTCTTCTGCTCTTGTACTTTCGGACAAGTTGGTGGATTAGATTGCGGTCTTCTGCAGTTACGATGAAATTTCAAAGAAACCTTGTAGACTCTCTGAAATAAACCCATATCTTCTTTTGCTGTAAAAGATACACATGTCTCCATAGCTATTGAACTCTTTGACAAAACCCTCTAATTTTCCAGGAAAATCTTCTGCAGTCAAAGCCGCTTTAATCTCCACTACCTACTTCTCTAATACTTAAAAAACAAATTATAAACAAATATTTTGAAAAAGGAAAAACAGGAATGAGTTTATGATATATATTACAACCATTTCAGAGCAAAAATTGAGCACAAATGGGCAATAAGCTACAGCTTTTGCTTCCTCTTCATTTGTATCTTCTGTTCCTTTGTTATGTCCTGTCTTTTAAGGTCCATCTCACCACTGGAAAAGATACCATTTTTCCAGGCCAAATTCTAGCCGGAAACTGATGCACTAAAATCACCTTAATAAGTCTACTAGTAGCTCCGAGTAATATAATAATGAAAAAAGTATCGAACACATATGGATTGTGTTTAATTAAGTACCAAAATAATTAATCTAAATTTGTTTGAATAATCGAAAAAAAGAAAGTTCAATTAAAAAATAATAAAAATAATAACAATTAAAATTAAACTAATCAAGATATGAGGTACTAAAGCATTAACTTTACCATAATCAATTAATATAAATTTTGGATTATCAAATTATTGAGTGTTATTGCATGTGATGACAGATTTCCCTAAATTAATTAACTAGCTTTCTCAAGTCAAGTTAATCCTTCACTTATTTGTTAAATTAATCATATCTCTATATAATTTTAAACAAACTAATGAGTATTAAATTCTATGAAAACCTAGGGGAGCTCCTAACTCTCTTCCTCTACTACCATATGTGAGCTAATTACCTCTTTCTCCACTACCACGTGTGAGCTAATTACCTCTCGATCTCATAGTCTAACACACGGTTTATATTATTATTGGTCTAATTTACACAATTCTTTCTCAAATTCATGCATAAATAACTAAATCAATTGAAAGATGATCAGACTTCCAATACATTAAGTTCAATAATAGAAACTCCTCATGCGAATAACTTTAATTGAAAATATAAAAATCACAAAATCTATATTAAATTAATTAGGCTATATCATAACCTTAATAGAATAAATTAGTTTATAATAAAAATAATAAAATCTGATTTATAGTCATGAACATAAGAATATTTAAGGAAAAACAAAACCTAATTTGAGGTAATTGAAATCTTTGATCTTCTATTGTTGATAGATCATCTATCTTGATCTCCAAAAATGCCCAAAAGAGAGCTGTGACCAACCTCCCAAAACTCTCCTAATTCTAAATTTGGATGGGTATTTATAGGATTTTAAAAACTCTAATTGGAATAGAAGTAGGACTTGAAGTAGAATAGGAAAGTTGAAATTTAGATACTGAACACATGGTGTCGACATCCCAAATTACGTATCAACACAAAACAAAAAACAGAAAGTTTGATTCTGGACGATTAACACATGATGTTGACTCCCAAATTATGTGCCGACACTATACTCGCATCGAGTCCCTTACCTCCTTTTGCAATTTCTTTAATGATAAAATAACAAATTTGTCCTTCATCTTTTGTACAATGAGCACTTAAATCCCAAAACTCAAGATTCATTGATTAAGGTCCCAAAGAGGTGCCCTTCTTCTTGCAATTCAGTCCCTTAACTTTCAAAAGATATTCAATTAATCCTAAAAACTTTTATTTTTATGCATTCAAGTCCTTTTCTGCACAAAGCATGAAAACCATGTAAAACTCAATAAAATCTCATAAAACTCATCCAAATATCAAAAACATCAAGGCAACAATTCCACATTAATATGTACACAAATTCAACTTATCAAATTCCCCCAAACTTAAGTTTTACTCATCCTCGACTAAAATAAAAAAACAAATAAATAAAAAGAAAATAAAATCTAACTCACTTTTGTAGGAATCACGATTGCATTGAGCATGTGCAACAAGCCTTTAAACCCCTAGGTCACCCGAGTGGACGAGTTCTGTCTCGTGAAGGTTTTCAGTGGATCTACCCACAAAATCCCAATGCAAGAATACAACTGTATGATATGCATGCAAAGAAAATTTAGGAATTAAAGTTTAATTAGATACAAAGTCTCAAATATTCAAGAGTTTTCATATACTCATTTAAAGTCAAATACTCATCCTATTCCTCACATCACTTGTTAAAAGATTTAGCCCATGAGCACTTAGTGTGTATGGAAATTTTTAGTAAGAAGTCTCAAGTTTAAACCTTCACACCTTAACACTCATTACTATATATTTTTTTCTATTTCTCCCTCTTTTTTTCTTTTTTTTTTCATATGTCGAGTTCCTTTAAGCTTTCTAAGTTACCTATGTAATGAGCTTTTTTTCAATGACTCCCAACCTAGCTGGCTTTAGGGCATTAGGTGAAGAGACACCCCTAAGAACATATTTACTCAAGTAACAAAGGCCACGAAACATTTGACTTCTTTTTCTTTTTTTTTTCCTTCTTTTTTTCTTTTTTTTTTCCAACCATACAACACATTCTTCCCTAAGCTATCACTTGTCTTTTGACACGAATATTAATGTTTGTGATGAAAGCAATTGGTTACTCAACAAGTCATAAACTCAAAGTGCTTTGTATACTCATATTTCAAGTCACCATTTGACGTGAAAGTTGACATGGGTCTCATGCCTAACCCCCAGTTACTAAGCAACTAAAAACATTGGGGTAGAAATTAATAAACTATTTTGTATTGGCTTCTTTTTCTTCTTCTTCTTCTTTTCTTTTATGTGCTATTTTGGTGCTAATAAGTCTTCTCTCTAAACTTCTCACTACAAACTTGTGCTCAAGTAGAATAGAATACTCATGAACTTAAACTTCATCACAATGGTACTATTTTTCAAATTTTGTATCTCCTCTAAGATTTAAAGATTTAGAAGTTTTTGAATCACTAACTCAAGAATATTTAATTCCTTGACACTAATTGGACCAACTCCTAAAAAAAAAAACCCTAATTTCTAAAAAAGAAAATGTATGTTATGCAAATATGAATGCAAACTAACATAATAATGGATGCCTAAAAGTTATTCTCTTCCCCAAACTTAAATCAAACATTGTCCTCAATGTAAAATAAAAGTAAGAGAAAAGAAAAACTTACCAGGTTTTGCATTTGAAAACTTAAAATTGAAGTTTTGAAGTTAAGTTGTCTTCATTTAGAGGAGACTTCTAGCATGGGAATTTCCATCGTCCTATCCCCCAAACTTGTTGAATGACCTGGCCAAAATCAAAGAACAACAATTTATGCATTAACCTAGGCCATAAAGAGAAAAAATAATAATAAAAAAATCTAAACTATTAAAATAAAAGACAAAGAAATAAAAGAAAAGAAAAATTTATGCTTGGGTTGCTTCCCAAGTAGCGCTTAATTTATAGTCATTAGTTAGACTTTCTACCACTCCAAGGTGGTTTTGGATCGGGTCGTAGGGCATGTCCTCTTGTTTTTTAAATCTTGGCTTTCTTGCCCTTAAGTTGAATCCACCATAATATTTTCTCCAATGACTATTCTGAGGTGGTTTGGGTATAGGCCAAGAGATGTGCCTTCCCAATTCTTCTAGGAGTGTCCCCTTTGATTCCAAGGAAGATGATGTGTTCAAGCGATTTATGTATTCTTTGATTTGATCCTTTGCTTGAATAAGATAAATTTCAAATGGATCCTCATAAGTGTTTTTCTGCAAAATCTCATCAACTATATCAATAATAAAATAATCATTAAAATCAGATTTGGTTAAAGAAGACTCCTTATTGGACACTTCAAATGCCATTTGAGCTTTTTCCTCTTCCTCCTTAGGGACATCCTTTTGTTTAGTTTCTACAAGCATAATTTCTATTTCTCCAAGTTGTCCTCCAATCTCCAAGGGTAAGGTGTTTACCTCTTCTTCTTGATTTTTCATTGTTGCACTAGGTAACTCACCTTGTATCTCTTCAGCAACTAAGTTGAGCAATTGACTTGATTGGACCTCCAGATTTTTATCCAAACATGTCTCCTTTTCTTAAGCTTGAAACCTTGACTGTGGCTCCAATATATCTTCATTATCCCATGAGGAGTTTGAATAATTTATCCAATTAAAGTTGCATGTATTGGGATAAGAATTATACTACTAGCTACAAGAAAAATCAACACACATGATATATCGCTTATATAAGCAATCAAAACTAAAATGGTTTAATCCACACCATTAACAAGTGATATTTAATCGTTCTATTAGAGCCTTCTTTAATTCAAGCCTTTTAATGACTGCTTGAAATCATTTAAGTTCATCATTGTCAAGTTCTGCATCCCAATTGATAGTCATTGCTTCAACTTGTGCTCTTATCTCTGGAGCAAGTCATTGATAATTTAGATCAGTGTTTAGGCCAACTAGATCCATAGTTAAACCTACAAAAACAAAAACAAGGAAACAAAAAAAAAAAAATCAAAGTACAGAAATAAAAGAAAAGAAAATGTTCAAATTAAATCTAAAATTAACCAATTTCGATATTAATTAAATCAACAATTCCAGGCACCAGCGCCAAAAACTTGATGCACTAAAATCACCCTAACAAGTATACTAGTCGCTCCAAGTAATATAATGATGAGAAAAGTGTCGAACCAACGAAAATTATGTTTAACTAAGTACCAAAATAATTAATCTAAATTTATTTAAACAATCGAAAAGGAAGAAAGCTCAATTAAAAAATAATAAAAAGAAAATAACAATTAAAATTAAACTAATCAAGATATAAGATACTAAGACATTGACTTAACCATAATCAATTAATATAAATTTTGGATTATCAAATTATTGAGTGTCGTTATATATGATAGTGGATTTCCCTAAATTAATTAACTAACTTTCTCAAATCAAGTTAATCATTCACTTGTTTATTAAATTAATCATATCTCTATGTAATTTTAAACAAACTAATGAATATTAAATTCTATGGAAACCTCTAGCTTAAGAAGGGAGAGCTCCTAACTCTCTTCTCTTCCTCCACTACAACATGTGAGCTAATTACCTCTTGATCTCATAGTCTAACACACAGTTTATATTATTATTGGACTAATTTACGCAATTTTTTCTCAAGTTCATGCATAAATTATTAAATCAATTGAAAGATGATTAGACTTCCAATGCATTAAGTTCAATAATACAAACTCCTCATGCAAATAACTTTAATTGAAAATATAAAAATTACAAAATCTATATTAAATTAATTAGGTTACATCGTAATCCTAATAAAATAAATTAGTTCATAATAAAAATAATAAAATTTGATTTATAGTCATGAACATAAGAATATCTAAGGAAAAACAAAACCTAATTTAAAGTAATTAAAATTCTTGATTTTCTATTGTTGATAGACCTTCTATTATTGATAGATCTTTTATCTTAATCTTCAAGAATGCCCAAAAGAGGGCTGTCACTAGCCTCCCAAAACTCTTCTAATTCTAAATTTGGATGGGTATGTATAAGATTTTAGAAACCTTAGTTAGAATAAAAGTAGGATTTGAAGCAGAATAGAAAAGTTGAAATTTGGATGCTGAACGCATGGTGTTAACATCCCAAATTACGTATCGACATAAAACAAGAAATAGAAAGTCTAATTCTAGACGATTAACGCATGGTGTCAACTGCCAGATTATGTGTCGACACTACACTCACGTCAAGTTTCTGGCCTCCGTTTGCAATTTCTTTAATGATAAAATAACATATTTG